AGGATTTCCATGATTGTGGTTATCGGCCCATATTGGTGTCTTGTGTTTAATATATGTTGGGCGAAGGCCGATTCGTCCTTATTTAATCTTATGTTGCGAATGTGCTCAGTGTATCGGGTTGACAGTTTTCTGCCCGTTTGGCCAATGTATACCTTTTGACAACTTTGGCAGGTCAGTTTGTAGATTCCGCTTTGCTCATATGGATCGATGTTTTTCCTTTCGTGTACTAGTTTGCCTAGTGTGTGATTGGTTTTATAGGCTATCTTTATGTTTGTGTTCCTAAATAATTTAGTAATTTTCCTTATATAATTTCCCGTGTATGTGTATGTGATCCATTATACATAAAATTATGCAGTATTAAAATTGTTTATGCTATTATCCTTAGAATATATACTACTGAAGAGCAGAATTCTGACATGCATTTTCTGTGGGCAAATGGACTCAATGCCAAGGATATTCATAAAGAAATGCTACCTTATTATGATGAGAAGTGTTTGTCATGTACAGTGGTTCACAACTGGGTCGAAAAATTCTCTCAAGGACATTCAAAAGTCACAGATGATGCACTGGTAAAGCGATGGGTCAAGCGTATCAGTATTAGTGGAGGACATCTTGAGAAATAAATGTTTCTTTCAGGTTTGAATATCACATTTTACATTTTATATTCATTTATGACATAGTCAATGACTCTCCCCTTACATATGTGTATGCATATATGTATATATACGAGGAATGTGGAATAAAATCCAGGACTTAATTCTATTCGACAACATTTGCAGCTCTATTTCCAAAATTATTCTCCCTCCAACAACGCATATTTTCCCCATAATTACAGAGGCTTTGTAAATCCAGCTATATAGAAGTTTCTCAGAGCCATCATAAGAAATGAGAGACATGCATATGGACTTTCTCAAGATCCTGTTCATTGGGTCTACTAAAGACTGCACTGGTAGCACAAAGAGAATAAACAGAAAATATATCACTGAAATCATAAAATGCAGCTACATACACCATACTATGATACAAGGAGAAACTATTTCTTCAAAGAGCTTTCAGACAGAAAAACTGTTGACCCTGTTCAAGTAGTAGAACAACTGAACTCCTTTATCATGGTGATGGTGTTAACTTACCAGTGCCCACCAACTCGAGCATAGTCGGGTGGATGAGGCAAAAGACAGGATACAAACACCTTGAAGTGGGAACTGCACACATCTGACAACCATCCACACACAAATTCTGTTTTCAGGCGCTCCAATGTACTCTCTTGATCTGTGTCAGGAAGACAACAAAAATATACATCATAAGAAATCAAAGTACAATAGGATCCATTAAAAAAAAATGGTCTGAAATATAAGATATGCTCAACTTGAGATCCATCATGTTGAAGGGATGGAGGCTTTCAAACACCCTTTGAAATGTATCATGCAGATTACACATGTACTATTTTCGGACACTTGGTTCCTCTGGAAATTAGGCATGCTGGGAAAGATGTAAAACAATACACTTAAATGTTCAATTAAACCAAGAGGTCCTTATATTAAATTAATCTAATTCACAAATAAACGAGCTCTGTAAAATTTAATGTAGGTATACCATATCAAGCTTGAACAAATTAAACTTCATATAGGGTCTTACCTGGCCCTCAAAATGAATTACTCTTCCTCATAACAATAAAAGAAAAACTTCATGGTTTTAGTCCGCAAGCAAACTATACCGACTGAGCGACAGCCACTTGTCGGCAAAGTTAGTGCCAACTTTAGCGGATAGAGGGTGTCACATGGTCAGTGCAATGAATCCCGACGGCCATTAATTTCGGTTCTCTAGTCCACAGCCACTATTTCCTTGAAACAGCTACTCAATTATCCTCACGAGGCTGAGAGGACTCCGTTCCAGACCCAATACTTCTCAGAAAACTGATAGCACTGGGAATCAAACCTGGATCTCTGAATCTGTAGCCAGGAACTCTGACCACTAGACCACAGAGGCGGTTTTCCTCATAATAATACTCATGAAATATAATCAATGCTACAGTAATCATAATAATATCATTACTTAACCATGTCATACATACATGGTGTGTTCAAAAAGTATCGAGCCTTCTTTTTTCCCACGTAAACCAATGAAGCATGGGAGGCTCCCTTCGGTGGAGATGTGGAGGGGACATTCATGCAGTCATGAATTTTCTCCCGCCTGCAGAAAGCGTCAGTCGCTGGCAGTCGGCCTATGAGTGAGGACATGCAGTGAGCGGTCGTCGGATTCCAGTAAGGTGTAAAATGACGGAACATGAGCAGCAATATTGCATCAAATTTTGCCAGAAGCTTGGCGATACCCAAGCGGAAACCATTCGCAAGATTCAACAGGCTTTCGGGGACGATGCTATGAGCAACTCACGGATAAAGGAGTGGTACAACCGCTTCAAAGATGGCCGCACATCAGTGGACAGCGAACCGCGTTCAGGCAGACCCTCAACAAGCCAAAATGAGAATGTCATTGAGCAAGTGCGGACTTTGGTCATGGAGGACCTTTGTATAACAGTCTGAGAACTTGCGAATGAGATAGGGGTAAGCATTGGATCAGTACATTCAGTTTTGACCGAGAATTTGGGCATGAGGAGAGTGTCCACGAAATTCATACCGAAACTGTGCATCTAATTCAGACTTTCGTCGCCAAACACAATATCCCTGCGCTTCGTCAGGCTCCCTACTCCCCCTAATGGCTCCGTGTGACTTTTGGCCATTTCCCAAGCTGAAAATGCCGCTGAAAGGAACCCAGTTTGAGTCAAGAGAAGACATCGTGCGGAATGCGACGGCCTGGCTGATCACCATTCCAAAAGACGTGTTCCAGAAGTGTTTCCAACAATGGTGGAAGCGCTGGAAAAAGTGTGTGCATTACCAAGGAGACTACTTTGAAGGGGATTAGGGTTTTGTACCTCCAAATCAATAAATGTATTTCTGACGACCAAAGGTTCGATACTTTTTGAACACACTACATAAGTTCTGCCTTAACTTGACAAATAACTCAGAAATATATACAGGTTGCCAGCCTTTCCTGTTTCTTAAAAGGAAACATCAATCTTCTTGAGTCATCTAATAGCTTACATATTGTCATGTGATAGAGTGGCTACAGACACAGTTTGAGTTGGTAATTGGATTTATTGTACACTTACAGATCATAACTACAAGTAACTGTAGCACTACCACTAATTCACACACTCTGCAGTTCATTATGGCACATACTAAGTGTTCTGTCTGCTGTCTTTTCACCAGTCATTGCCTGGTGACGGATCTCAACACTGTCCTCTGCTTCCATGCTCACGTTCTTACTGGCTGGCAACTCTCTCTCAACTAATTCACTCCTCCAACTGTCCTGTTAATAACATCTCGGCATGGACCACAAAGAAAACACCGTTCCTCTGTTGCTGTTTCCAACTGTTGCCATGCAAAACATGCCTGTTTGTGAACCCGTTGCTTAGTAATAGCTGTTGTATTTTTGCTTATCGAACAGTTCTTGCCCAGCAACATGCCTACATGCCATAATATAAAAATTTAATCAGCTCTTAACCCTTTGACGCGGTAATTTAAATTCCGCGGCTGCGTCTCCTGCGGTAATATATTCAGCCGGCCATTTAAATTTTGCTCGAAAATGATTTATTCATCATTGTTCTTAAATTCTATGAGATAGGAACATGAAACTTTCACTAAAATGATCTTAAAAGGTGGTTTTATAACCTTACCTTATAATATGAGCGCCCTTTATATCTTCAATGGAAGCAGGTTTTTTAGTATTTGAGCAGTGAATGGTACGCCTTGAAGCATGAAACTTTCACTAAAATGATCTTAAAAGATGGTTTTTATAACCTTACCTTATAATATGAGCGCCCTGTATCTCGGTAATGGAGGCAGTTGGTTTAGTAGAAGGAAGGCCTTGAAGCATTCGTATAACCCAACGGTGCC